ATAAAAGGCAAATATAGGTATTTGTAGAAAAAACAAAAGAGATCGCCAAACTAAACATAAAGGTCCATGCCACATATGTCTATATGCAAATATACACATATGCATATATGCAGATACACATATATACAATTACATATATACATCTATACATTTATTTATGCATCTATACCTATATACATACTTTCATTTTTACATACATACACACATATCTTCACATATACATATATATATACATATATATACATATATATGTATATATTTACATATATACATATTCACATATGTACAAATGTACATGTATACATACATGTATGCATCCATGCATGCATACATATATATGCACACATATACACATGCTTGCATACATATGTATGTACACATATATGCATGCATGCATGCATGCATGCATGCATACATACTTACATGTACACATATACATTTTGTGCGTACCTACATACATACCTACATACATACACATATACATGCATGTACATATATATATACATACATATGTATATGTATATGTATATATACATATGTACTTGTACTTCTTATTTCTACCTTGACAGATGCATATGCATACATGTGAGTCCGTGTGAACTTCTCAGACGAGGGAGGGCTCATTCACAATGGCTCAATGTTTGGTTCAGGGTTCCGGGCTGCAGGTTTCGGGCTTGGCCGTGTATTTATAATTAAAATTTTGAGACGCTTAGGGGTGAGGCTTCAACTTGTCAAGATCAGTGGAAGTCGATGTCGAAGTTCAGGGATTTTGAGTCTCAGCGGTTTCAAACTTGGGTAAATTCAATCATTGGTGTGACCCGCTATTTGCAGTTTCAAGAGTACTGTTGGCAGGTTCTGTTCTTATGACTTTGAACAATGAGGTGGGCAGGTTGGCATGCAAGAAAGGGGTATCCGACAACCACAGGAAATCAAACTGGCCATATTGAGTTCAAAAGTCTGTACACCCGAGCTCTTGTTTCCAGCAAATTATACCACCCGCCTTGGTTTCCAAGCCTTTGAACGCCAAAAACCTTTCGCCGTTAATTGCAGCAGAACCAAAACGCAAGACGTGCCGGGTATGCTGAAGAACATTTCTCAGCTCATAGTAGAGATGGTGGGCCAACGATGGTGCTCTAGGGACAGCGGACTCGCACGGTCTTCTGCTCAAAACCCTTTTGCTGCCCAATGAGCTTTCAACGTTTAATTACCTAAATCCAGAAATTGCCTTACCAAAACCCTACACCAGATCCGCAACCTAAATCCTAGCAGGTCCTAGCACCTCATGTGGAGTTAACTAGGGAAATTCGCCCGCCCAAAGTCCCAACAGTAGCAGTCAGAGGTTCAGGTTAATGGCGGCGCCGGAATAGTCAGCAATCATACCTTTTGAAGACTGAGGGTTTCTTCATCATGGAATGCATAGAGCAAAAGCCCATAGTCCGATTATCTCGGGTTCTGTCTGCTTCTAAACTCACTTAAGAGAAATTCTAACCCTACACCCCCGCCTGTAGGTGAAAACACCTACTTTTTTAAGGGTTCCTTATAATGGTTTGTATATATAGTTCCTTAAAGGGTAGGTCTTTTGGGCCACAGGCACACCCTAAACGCAACGGTCCGAAACGCCCTCTAAACCCCATCTCCGAAAGCCCGGTCAAGGTTTACTACTAAACTCTACGCACTCAAAGGTGCAGCTTGACCACTTAACCCTGCATGGAAACATACCCTCAACCTTAAACCCAAGAGATACCACCTGAATACAAGAGCCTGCATACTTAGGACTAGAACTCCTTTGAGTGTAGTGTAAAACCTTCCAAAGCCCCTGTCCAGTTATTTCTAGGTAGCATTATTAGGGGTACCCCTTAAAGGAAAGGGACCTTATTGAGAGGGTCTATATCCCCAAGGGTCCCCCTAATCCTAGCTCCCAATTTCAGCCTCAAGATGTCGAGCCCCAAGCCTTGTATCCTCAAGCTTAGCCCCTGAACCAATGAATCCCTAAGACTTACATCCTAAACCCTAAACCCTAAACCCCCAAAGCCTCAAGCCCTGCACCCTTTGATCCTAAACCCTAAACCCTAAACCCTAAACCCTAAACCCTAAACCCTAAACCCTAAACCCTAAACCCTAAACCCTAAACCCTAAACCCAAACCCTAAACCCTAAACCACCTCAGACCCTTGAGTTATTTCCTTGCCAGGCTTTGAAGCTTCTACTCGCAGACGACGACGAGGCTTCCGTCGTTCAGTGGCGTCTTTAGGGTTTAGGGTTTAGGGTTTAGGGTTTAGGGCTCTACTTGTTGGTTTAGGGAAGATTCGGGTTTGGGGAAGGCTTGTTATGATTTGGTTTGTGTCCCGCTCCTTTTAAAATGGGATCTCTCCAACCATATGTCCGAGAGGTCTCTACGCCAGGGCCAGAATAATTGCTAAGATTGTTCGAAAACCCCAGTTCGATTTGTGGCCTCTATATTATCTGAGTTTGATTAGGGTTTCAGGTTTGGGAGATTATGATTCAACGTTGTGGCCCGGGCTTTCACTTTCCGACTCTAGGGTTAGGGCCTAGAGTCCATGGCTTAGGGTTTAGGGTGCAGGACCCTAAACCCTAAAACCCAAACCCTCAACCCTAAACCCTAACCCTAAACCCTAAACCCCAAACCCTAAACCCTAAACTTAAAAACCGACCCTATGTCGGGCTACTAGGCTTGAGGGCCCAGGTTACCCGAAAAGTGTTCCTGGTACTGTAGGGGCTTAAATGATTACCTATACTATTTTGGGGGTTCCTTGTTTGTTGTAGCTATAGTAGAATGGGCCCCAAAACCCCAGTCTACTGATTAAAGCCCCTAAACCCTAAACCTTTCTGGTATCTCCCTTATAGAGCCCTATGAAACCCTGTTCTTCTAATTATTAAGGCCCCTACATTATGTAGCTTTCGGGAGGGCCCGAAGTCGACAGTGGTTGCTTTAAGGCCATAGTTTGAAAGTTTAGGGCTTTGGGTTTGGGGTTCCGGGTTTAGGGTTTAGGGTTTAGGGGTTTAGGGTTTTGGTTTTAAGGTTTCGGTTTAGGGTTTTGGTTTTAAGGTTTAGGTTTAGGGTTTTGGTTTTAGGGTTTTGGTTTTAGGGTTTAGGTTTTAGGGTTTAGGGTTTAGGGTTTAGGGATTCAGGGTACTTGGCCCTGGGCTTGACTTTCGGGAAGAGCGTGCCAGGACATCGACAGAAAAACTGCGGCAAGATGCTGCGAGAGCTTGCCGTGTCCTCAAACTTGTTTTCACGCTTGGGCTCATGAGTACTTCTTGGCTTGTTTGGTTTGTGGTGTTGTTTATATGGATCTCCCAAAACATATACCTTATTGCCTCCCTTCTAAGCTGAACCCTAAACCCTGAACCCCTAAACC